TATATATATATAAATACATATACCACATATATATACACACACATTGCAGGACAGATACACATACAACATATAAATATGAAAAGAGGGTAATTTCATTTTGTTTATCAATCGAATTCTAAAAGAAATCGGTAAGCGTTTTAGAATGTCAATTCGATATAAATATTACGATCATTATCATTATCGTTAATTAGTGGTAGCAATAGTATATAGTATTCGTAGTAGTTATATATATAGTAACACGCAGAGAAAAGGGGGTGAAAATGATAATGAAAGGTTCGATGACAACGTAATTATATTTTTAGTATTTCAAAAAATAACCCCTAGTAGTACAAAATATTGAAAAATATTGAATACATGTATATTTAATATTAAAAAGATATTAAATCTCTTTTATAAATATTAAATACACATGTATTCAATATTTTTCAATATTTTGTGCTACTAGGAACGTTACTTGAAATTTCAACTTCAAAATTGTTGATGTTTGATCAAATTTCTTTCAATCAATTTCATTATTATTAGGTCTACCGGAAAATTCTGTCCATTTTTAAAATAAAATAATAAATTATTCCTAATTTGAACAATTAATTAATTTCATTACTTTTAAACTCTTACCAACATGGTGGCAATTTGTATATTCCATTTTAAAAAATGGGGCCTTACCCCTAGTGACGAAAAATTGAACTAATTTTTGTTTAAACGGACAGAATTTTCATTGAATTATTATTTCATTGTAAAGTATGTTCAAAATGGCTGATATATCATAAAAAATACTTTACAATTATTCCTATTTTGTTGAACTGCAAGTAGCAATAAATTATTAAATTAAAATTGGATGGATAACCTAAAAAATCAACAAGTCAATTGCATAATTAATATAAAATTAATCAATGATATTAAATTAATAATAATCAGCGTAATTTGAAATGTTTCAATATGACACTTGTTCGTTTTACGTGCAAACCATTTTTGAAACTAACTTTTGATAAAAAGACAAAATTCATGAACCCCTTGTTGACCTTTGTTACGGCCATATTTCTTTTCTTTAAAGGATGGTTCAATATCCTCGCTTAAAGTCTATCGAGAAAAGAAACAGAATTGCGAGAAGAAGATCGTATTATAAAACGTAATGGCGTGATGTGGATGAGTTTTAGATGTTAAAATAGTTTTTTAAACGAGAAACATCGATCAATTGATTTGTGTCCTTATTAACAATTAATGTCTAATCGAAGTCAATACTCATAAAAACTTATAAACCTGTTAGAAAAATTGTTTCTTAAATTTCATAACCCGTCATTGAAATTTAACAAACAATAACAAAAAAAAAAACACGCTTACCGATTTCTAAAGAAATCGATCGTTTCAAATTGTTCCTCCATCTCATTTTCAATTTCCTCGCATCGCACACACGATCATTGTATAAAAAAATAATAAAAAGAGAATAAAAAAAAAAACAGCAGACGAAGGTGAGAGGGTTGTAGAAGGGTAGAAAAGTAGTAAAACGTACTTATATTAGACAGTTCGACGAAGATCAATTTTTCCGATCGGCGCTAAGGGTAGATTTTGTATTATTCGCGGCCTACGTAAAATTAATTGTTCTATACCATTGCCGCAAATTAATTAATAAATAAAAAAAAAAGAATTAAAAACAAATATATATGTATATATAAAGTATACATATATATATATATAATATATATAAAGGCACATACAATGAAATACATATGTATGTATGTATGTATGTATGTATGTATATTAAATATACATGCGTAGCAGCGATGAAAGAGAGTTTTCTTTGTCACAAAGCTCACGCAAAAAAAAAAAAAAAATAATTCATTTAATCGCAAAGTACATATATATAAATATATACATAAAAAAATATATTATTATATCGAAAGAATGCGATTTAACATTATTCATAACACGATTAGAAAATTGGATAACGAAGAATTTAAAGTAGATGAATGCGAAATCAACCAAAAAAGAAAGAAATAATGGAAAAAAAAAAAAAATTGAAAAAAAATATAGTAGTTATGTATTCTGATGTATTTAAGATGTTTAAACAATAAAGCTATTGCTACCTATTAAAAATAATGTATAAAAGTAAAATTAAGAGAAACATTTTGTATTGTGCATCATTTTCTTCTTTTTAAGAGACTAACACAACTAAGTTTGAAAATCAATTGCTTTCTTTTGTATTTTCTTTTTTATTTATTCATAGAATCAACTTGTTTTCAATTCTTTTTGTTGTTCTTGTTGAGCTCGAACGTGTTTATATTGATCAGTTGTGTTATCCACGTGGGACTGCAATGTTAACATTGAGTTTCTTGGTGACGAACAGTTGTCTAAAATCTTTTCAAGATCATATAACTTTTTCAATTTATCTTGAATATGATTTAAATATTCCCATCGTAAGATTTTCAGGTGTCTTACGTAATCCAACGTACCACGATGACTCAACAACGTTTGACCCAACGTATCGCAAGAATCACCTTGAAGTGCACGACTTATCGCAATGAATAATTCTTGTCGTGATATTTCTTCCTTCACCGGATCTCTCTATCAAGGAAGTAATTATATAAAATTATATATTACAGTTAATTAGATAAGCGTAAAAATATATCGTTAATTTGAATGTAATATGGCTAATGAAACTTTATTTTATACTCAAGCATAAAAATTGAAAATAATATTTGTTCTATAGAATTTAATTCTTAATATTTTGTTTATAATATTGATACGAGTTTCTAAAATTTAAATTATATTTGGTAATTTTGTTTATTAATGTTTAAGAATGTGGTAGATCATTATGAACAATTTTTATAGTTGAACTAGTGTCCTAAAATTCATTTGGTTATTAGAGAAGTTGATGTGTGTGTGTTAAAAATAGTTTTAATTTTACATATATATATATTAATTATTATTATAACACAAAGTATATATTTAATTAATTATTATTTTATTAAACAATTAATTATTTATTTTATAATACTATATTACTAGTATTATAATACTAATACTAGTAATGATATTTTATAATACTTTATTAAACAAAGTATTATAATTAATATTTTAACACAAGTTATAATTATATATATATATATATACCATTAATATATAATAATAATAATAATATATATTATAACATAATATATATAATATATTATAATACTAATGCTATTACAAGTATTATAATACTAATACTATTACTAGTATTATAATACTAATACTAGTAATAATATTTTATAATACTTTATTATACACAAAGTATTATAATTAATATTATAACACAAGTATATATTATAATACAAATTAATAATTATATAAAATTATAATACAATATTATAATTGTGCAAAATAATAATTCAATACGTTTGTTATTGAAAGCATTCCAACAACATACATCATATTCTATAATTAATAACAAATAATCCAAATATTTTCATTTGAAATACCTTCTTTGCATCCAACGGGCCAAATTCTTTGCTCAATGCTTTATCGATCAAATTAAGAATATGACTTTTACTAGCATGAAGATCAAGATCCTCGTCAGGGTTATTGCTTTTCACAACAATATCAGTATTATCATTTTTATCATTGATTTCTTTTTCAATGCAAGTCGTTTTTTCGAACGATTTCGTACATTTTTCATTTTTTTGGACAGAAGATGATGATTTGTGACAAGGTTTTAAGTAAGGAATTTTCTTTAATTCTCTAATTAATTTCTCATCCTCCAAATAATTATCAACGTCAACGTCTGTTTCTCTATCTGTACAATGATAACTTGTGCTAGCTTCTACTTGTTGAACAATTTTATCGTTTACCTGTAATAAAATTAATCAATTATTATCAAATATATAAAATTTATAATATTATTATTTTATACATATTTAAAATGAATTCAAATAATAATATCATAAATTTATTATTAATGTATTATTAAATTTATTAATAATATATTATTTTATATACATATTATTATATATATTTAATATTTTATACATGTTTAATGTATATAATTGTATGTTAAATGCATATACAACATTATATATATTCAATAATATAATAATAATTTAATTGTACAATATATATTATAATATTATATAATTATAATAATATTAATTATTTATTATATATTAATTTTATAATATGTTGATAAATATATATAATATATTATATTATATTAATATTATAATTATATAAAATTATATATATATCAAATTGTACGTCAGATCTTTTAAAATCCCACATAGAACCGTATAACAAAATTTAAAATATTCAGAAATTTAAACAAAATTAAAATATTTCTAAATGCGTGACAAAATTAAATTCATTCAATTCTGTTAACATCAGTCAAATTTTGTGAAATTAATTGAAAAACATACCTGTTCCGGTATAGTTTTATTATTACTCGTCAAAGATTGATGCTTTTTAGATGAATCTATACATTGCAATTCATTATTTAAACGATGTTCTTTATTTTTCTTTCTCATTTCATCCTCAATGTAAGATTTCTTCTTTCTATCTGGTTGCTCCACGTTAGACGAATCATCTTCCTTACACTGTTGATCATCGATATTCTTCAATTTATCATATAAATGATATTTCAATTGATCAAGCTCGTGATACTGTTGTTTCAAATGTTGCTTGTATTCCTCAAACTCGTTTTCTTTCTTTTTCAAATTCGATTCCAATTCAACCCTTTTGGAATTATCACAGCATTTCTTTGTACGTGAATATTTTTCGTAATATTTATCCATTGAATCGCTCTCCGGTTCTGAATAATCTAATATACCTTGTAATACCTGAGATTAAA